ACGGTGGCTCATGCCTGAAATCCCAGCACTTTGGGAGGCCAAGGTGGGCAGATCACTTGAGGTCAGGAGTTCGAGACCAGCCTGGCCAACATGGTGAAACCCCATCTCTACTAAAAATACAAAATGAGCCAGGCGTGGTGGTGGGCACCTGTAATCCCAGCTACTTGGGAGGCTGACGCAGGAGAACAGCTTGAACCCAGGAGGCGGAGGTTGAAGTAGGCCAAGATAAACATAACGTTAACTTCAAAAAATAAGTATTATATATTGTTTTGATGTTTACACAAATATTAATAAGCAAAGTGCTCCATAAACACAAAACTTTCTGCAGGGATCCAATTCAACAGAGCTTCTCCAATCTACTGAGCTTCTCTCCACAAAGCATGACACACACGTGAGACACAGTCCCCAGATTCGAGGCGCAGCGAATCTACCTGGGAGAGGCACAACAGGAAAAAGGAAAACAGAGCACACGTCAGGAATGAAATGGAATCACAGTCTCCCAAGAGTTTCAGGGAATATATGGAAATTTTACCTTTACATATTTCCCTTCTAAAAAGTTAAGGTGTAATTGTCATAAGACATGACCAAATGATTATTAGAACAATGAGAGAACACCCAGCTTTACGCCAGGCACAGTGGCTCATGCCTATAATCTCAGCACTTTGGGAGGCCAAGGAAGAAGAATTCCTTGAGTCTAGGAGTTTGAGACCAGCCAGGGCAATACAGCAAGACCCTGCTTCTACAAAAAATAAAAAATTAGCCAGGCGTGGTGGTGCACACCTGCAGTCCCAGCTACTTAGGAGGCTGAGGTGGGAGCATCACTTAAACCTGGGAGGTTGCAGCTGCCATAAGCCATGATCACACCACTGCACTTAGCCTGGGTGATAGAGCAAGACTGTCCCTCTCCTTCATTCATTCATGCATTCTTCATTCATTCATTCATTCATACATATACATATACATACCTAATACTCAGCTTTAAGCCTGGAAGGAAACAACAGCATGTGCATCCATTATAAGAGGGTTAAACAGTCACATAAAGGTTGCCTCTTACAACAGGGAATCTGGCACTGGGCAAGAAGGCTGTCAACACTGCAGGTGTGCTGGGCTGTGGGGAAAACAGCAGCACCCAGAAATTTACTTATTTATCTTTGCAAATAATGATTTCTATAGTTGACATCCCTTCTCCTCAGAGTTTTTATCACAGTTTGAGAGTAACAGGCAGAGCTCCGGTCTCTTTATATTAATATGAGGTTCACTAAAATCTACCCAAAAAACAGTGAAAGATAATGACAAATGTTGGCCAGGATATGGACAAGCTCACGCAGGAAGAGGAAACAAAGCTCCCCACACACTGCTGTGGGCGTGGAAAATGGAGCCACCACATGGGAAGACAGTCCGGCAGATCATTAAACAGAGTTACACGTGACCCGGCAATTCTACTCCCGGTTACAAAACAAGAGAAATGGAAACACACATCTACGTGCAAACTTGTACATGAATATTCATAGCAATGTGATGCCTGTTAGTCGAAATCTTAGTCAAAAATGGAAACAACATTAGTCGAAAAACTGAAAGAACTGAAACGTCCATGAGCGGCTGAATGGAGAAACACGTGTGGCGTCCCCACCGCGGACCGTTACCCAGCTACAGGAAGGAAGAAGTACTCATTCGTGCTGCGTGGAGGAACCTTGAAAGCATGATGCCGAGTGGAAGGGCCTGGCTACTCAGGAGTGGCCACTTCCTGCCTGGAACATCACAGGCACCACTGCCACGCTCCAGCATTTCCCTCCTGCCGTGGAACCGGCGGGGGCACGCGGCAGGCCAGGAGCTGTGGATCTTGAGGGGTCCTGGACACAAGGCGAATGCATGTCCCCAGAAAGAGCCCAGCTCCCACTCAGGCCTCACGGATCTGTCTGCTACTGCCCAAAAGCCCCTGAAGAAATCCCACGCCCAGGGGATTTCTTACACCTTCGATTAACTGGGATTCTGTCCTTACTTCAACTTCAAAGAGAGGAAAATCCAAGTAGCAACGCAAGGTCGCCCCCAGAAGCAGGCCAGCTGCAGCTCTCAGGAGGCAGCGCACACCCAGGCTAGCACCACAGGCAGGAGGCCCAAGGACTGGCAGGTGCTCAGGCGTCAAAACCAGGCTCCCATTACCAGGCTCTGCCCTCTGAAGGAACAGTCCACTTGAAGAGCCTCACTAAGCAGAGCATCGGAGGTTTACTGGCTTGAAGACCCAGCAAACTAAGAGTTCGGCAAACCAGAACAGCCTCTCTGAAGGTGCCCATGCCTCTGCCGGTGCTGGAGGCTGCGGGTCCCTGGTCTGTGAGCTTCCCAAGAAACTCTCCAATCTCATCCATGCAGCTGCCAGACTCAGTGTTCAAAGACAAAAACCCAGGCACCGTGGCTGGGGATTTTGCACGCCCCTGGGACTCCACCCCAGGCTTCTCCTTCTCAGAGGCCCAGGCGGCCCCGCCCTTCCTCCCAGTGCCACTACTTGTCACTGCGCCTTGGATTCCAGGGTGGCCCTCCTGCTGCCCTCTTGAACACCCAGCCTCAACCTGGCTCCCCCTCATCCCATGAGATATGGCTAAAATGTCACTTCACCCTGGAAGCCTCCTCTGACCCCTAAACGGGGACAGGTCCTCACAGCAGCCCGTGCTTCCTCTTGATAATGTGAATGCTAATTACTTTAATTAAGACTTTAAATTACTCATCTACAATCTGTCTCCTGTGCTATAACCACATGCTCCAAGAGGGCAGGGATCAGGCTTTCCTTGGTCTGTTGCCCGGCTCCCACAGCATAGGGCCAGGGGATGCTCTGTCAACACTCGCTGAATTGAACTGAAGTCACCTCCCAACCCAGCGCCCTGCACCAGACCCAGCACCAGGGCAGGTGCTCCATGAAGGGCTGCATGAATGACAAAACCGTAGCCAAAAGGAAGCTGGACAGCGCCCCATGCAAGTTAAACGTGTCTTTACAGCATAATGAAATGGATTTGTAATATACTATGTTGTAAACATTTCTTTACAACAAAGTGAAATGGACTTGGACTATACTAATGAACATTCCCCAAACAGAGGAAGCAAGATGTAGAAAGGACTACAAATGCCACAACCACGTGTGAAATCCAGGACCAAACATTTTCTAGGTCCGCTTCATAGTCAACTAACAGAAATAAATGGTACGTTTTACACAGATGTTCGGAAGTGACACTGTACACCCACAATGTGTAGCTGTGTTCTGCTGTGTGCGTGTGTGTGTGATGGGGATACGTGTGTGCATGTGTGTGTGACGGGCATGTGGGAAGGTAAGGAGAGTGTCCCTGAGCTCATCTGAAAACGCCACTTACAGGACACAAATTCCACTTTCTCTTGTCTTTCTTCCTGCTGGACAATTAAGATCGTGGTCATGCCCCTTGGTCCTGTCTTGCAGATAATCAGGCAAATGCATTAAGAATCACTTGGGTCTTACAACAGAAGTTGGTGGTAAAGTAGTTAAGACAAACTTATTTACCACATTAATTAAATGGTCTATTTAACATGGAATATCAATTCTCTAATCACATCTCAGTTGAACTTCTCCTTTCAATTAACAACGCTGAAGTCTACTGACAGAGGTCCTACTGTTCTAGGATCATTAAGAGCATTTTCATTATCTGTCAAATGAGGGGTAAGAGGCAGAAAAGCAAGCACCCTCAGGAGCGGCCTCTCCTCTACTTAAGAGATGATTAGGGAGTGAGCGCAGCAGCTCTCATTAGTTGCCTAGCAATGAGGCAACCTCCTATGAAATCATAAATGGGGACGAAGTGTGAGAGGGGTTGCAAGGAAATTCACTACACGGCTATGTCCCCATCCTCGGAGGAGAATCTGTCCTTCGGTAAAGCTCATCTCTCCAGATTACAGCAAGCGTGCGACTCTGAAGCCAACCCCAAACTGCAAAGGCTAAAACATCATGTAATGAAAACAGGCAAGCCCCACGTCTGGAAGGCTTGCAGGAAGACAAAACCGGTTTAATTCAAATGCGGCAACAACACAGTCAAGTCCCCACTCTTCTATTTTCTATTCACAGATGAATTAAAAAGCAGATCCTCACTTTTATCATCAGAGGTTTTAACTTAAAACATTCAAAACAGATTCAGTTATGTTACAGTTGACTGTGATAAAGATACACAGTACTCAAAAAGAAACAGCATAGCGCAACCTACACTGTTCACCCAGTTACAAGTAATTAAGACTCTCAGAACACAAAATGTTACTAGTATATCAAAAGCAGGAAAGTGATGAAATGCCACAGAAATGCAATTAAAGATTTGGTTTTCGGCTTGTAAGCAAAATATGCCACTGATAGTCTATCACATTAACCTTATCCATTTAAATTCAAACAATTGGCTGGGCACAGCGGCTCACGCCTGAATCCCCAAAACTTTAGGAGGTCAAGGTGGGTGGATCATGAGATCAGGAGTTCAAGACCAGCCTGGCCAACATGGTCAAACCCCGTCTCTACTCAAAATACAATATTAGCTGGGCTTGGTGATGCATGCCTGTAATCCCAGCTACTCGGGAGGTTGAGGCAGGAGAATCACTTGAACCAAGGAGACAGAGGTTGCAGCGAACCAAGATTGCGCCACTACACTCCAGCCTGGGCGACAGAGCAAGACTCCATCTCATAAATAAAAAAAATAACTTCAAACCATTAAAGCCAGCACTGTGCTTGCCTTTAGAATAAACTACACTCCCCACATACACTATTTATCTTCACCTATTGTTAAAAAGAAGATACTAATAATCACAACTGCAACTTCATGTCTTCAGTGGTCGAGCATGTGGATTAAAGACATTCTGGAAGCTGTTGTCAACGAGAAAACTCTTTCTCTAAGATTACTTATGTTAATAACATTAAACTGAAGGGCAACTTTCAGTATTTTTATAATTATGCGTAGTAACACACAGCAAGTCCACCAAAGTTCACGTTTAATGTTTTCGAGAAATCTTACCTAAGTATTCGCAAATGAAGACCACAAAGAAAGGCGTGACCAGGTCGTTTATCCCCTGAACATACCCACTGGCGGGGTGGCGGATTGCCCATATAAACAAGATCCTTTCAAAAATCTGAAAGAAAATGGAACAGGTGGTAAAGCCAAGAGTAAACATGACAGAAACTTTAAAATGCAAGCATTCTGTTACTCAAAATGTATTTTATCAATATTTTTTCATTGTTCCTAATATTAAAATTCAAACATAAACAAATATCTACTGGCTTTTTTTTTTTTTTTTTTTTTTTTTTGAGACGGGCTCTTAATCTGTCGTCCAGGCTGCAGTGCAGTGGCGCCACCTCGGCTCACTGCAACCTCTGCCTCCCAGGTTTGAGCAATTCTCACAACGCAGTCTTCCAAGTAGCTAGGACTACAGGCACATGCCACCACACCTGGCTAATTTTTGTATTTTTTGGTAGAGACAAGGTTTCACCATGTTGGCCCCGCTGGTTACGAACTCCTAACCTCAAGTGATCCACTCACCTCGGCCTCCCAAAGTGCTGGGATTACAGGCGTGAGCCACATGCAGGGCCCTTAATTTTTTTTTTAATCAAGTTTCAATTATCTTAAGTATTTATCGTCTCACAAGCAATGTGGCCCATTTCATCCACCCCTGGCCCACTCCGCCCGCCCGCCGGAAGCTGGCTCTCACAGCAGGAGCTCTCTGCTCCTCCACACCCCTTGGGCCGCGGTGCAGCGGCCATGGCCTATCAGTAAAGACCTCCTCGGTGACGGAGGCATGGATGGGTGAGCAGGCGAGAGGATGAATGGATGGTCACGTGGGTGGATGGATGCTCTAAATTTTCCTCATAAAGTAAACGGGTTTCTTTAAACCCCTGAAAGTAATCAGCATTGAGGAAGACAAACTTAAACATCTTTCACCACTTACAAAATCTCCCCAGGCATTCAGTTACCCCAACCAGGCGTGCAGGAGCCAGCCCAGCCGCTTCCCCTTCCAATACTCCCAATATATTCAGTTGATCCTTCTCTCCACCATCCCCTAAACCCACTCTCTCCCACCTTCACTCATAAGGAAGTTTGTGTTATACCAAGGCACAACTCAATCCTGTCACCCACACCATACACCGCACACAGAGCTGAAGACCCCCCACCAACAGAGCCCCTCCACCACCACAGGCCCAGCACATCCTGTCACCCACACCATACACACGCACACAGAGCTGAAGACCCCCCACCAACAGAGCCCCTCCACCACCACAGGCCCAGCACAGTATCCCCCACCACTCAGTCTAGCCCCTGCCCCAAGGTCTCCCCAGCCAGCGCCCACATTCTTGCTGCGCTAAGCTGCAGCACTCCTCCCCGACTGAGCCTGCCAGCCATCAGCCCACGCTCCTGCCGCTGCCTGGAAAGCCCGCCCCTCCTGCACCTGGAGTCTCGACTGCCCTGGCTTTCAGAATTCTTTAAGCATCGCTCCCTCCTCGAAGACTCTGCTGCCACCTGATTCCCTTGCTGCCCTCTTTTAGGAAGAGCCAACCACTTCCCACTTTGTGGCCCTCCGGTTCCCACTCCTCTCCACTGAGTCACTGGCTGGAGGCTCCAGCCTGACCTCTGGGCTGCCTGCAAGCTAAGGCCGGGTGCAGCTGCTCTATCCAGGCCAGTCCATACAAAACAGGCACAGGCACAGGAGGGAGACTTCAGGAGCAAACACCTAACATGTGCATGAACTCCATCGCTTCCATATACACTCAGCCCCGCAGAGCCACCTGTACTTCTGCCCAGGCGACTCCATGCCTCCTGCATCGCCTGCAATCCTAAACCTTACTGGGCTTGGCACTCTCCATCCCCACAATCACCATCCACCCGGGACTTACAAAGGAGGGGTTCGGGGCCAACAGGTGAAGTCTCTCAACCCGAGGAATCCTATCTGGAGTGGCATCGCCAGCCTGCCATCCATGCAGTTGGTCCAATGAGTGGCAGGGCAACCGCCTGGTACAGCAGGCACCCGAGGGCGCTGCCGGATGAGTATACATTCGCACATATAAATCCACACACAGTTTTCATCTCAGTCCACAACTTCCTAAACAGAACTGCATATTTAGCATCAAAGACTGAACCCACTCAACAACATGGTGCCATTTAAGAATTTCTCATGCACAGAAGCCTAGCAAATGATGACAGTGCTATTTAACCAAGCTGCAAGTAGCAGCCAGCGGAGCCGTGCTGTGGGCAGCCCCTCGGTGGCCCCAGAGGGAGATGAATGCGCAGGGCGTCAACAGGAAGAGCCCCTTGGCCAATAGCGCCTCACCACAAGTCACAAACGCGCAGCCTCTGTCCCTCCCGGCCACCGGGGCATAAAGAAGCCCAGGGGACAGCATGTGAGACTAGAATACAAGCAGGCCAGGTGCATGAGGCAGGCACAGGACAGGGGTACAGCTCAACAGCCCTTAAGTCTGCTCATCAGCAAGCCTCTGAGGAGCGTCTGAGACCCCGAAAGGGTCAGGAGCATGGGGTGGAGGGGACAGGGGCCACACAAGGACAGGAGGAGGAGCAACAGGAGGAAAAGGAATGACGTAGAGGTGGTGACTCCATGGAAGCTGACCACACAGAGTCATGAAGAAATGGGGAAACTGCCCAATACCTCCTCACCAAGAAGGCCCAGGGCCACTGACATCTCTCCACGCATGTCCAGAGGGCCATGGCAGCCAGCAGCCACCAGACCCAGCTCTGTCGCCATGCGGTGTCCTCTACAGCCCAGGGAGCAGGCAGTGCAGTGCCCCAGGAGCATGCACCCTGGACAGAGGGAGTCAAGGCAGGCACCACCCAGAGCAGGGGGCAGGTGCACTGCAGGGCTGGGGGGAGGGGAGGGAGAGAGACACAGAGAGAGAGAGAGAGAGAGAGAGAGACTGTGTGTGTGTGTGTGTGTGTGTGTGTGAGAGAGAGAGAGAGAGAGAGAGAGAGAGAGAGAGAGAGAGAGACAGACAGAGAGAGAATTTAGGCAGTGGAGCCCCCCCACCGTTTAACAAGGCCCTCACTTTCAGAGGGCTTATCTCACTCATGCTCACACACTGTCTCTCTCCAGCCTGATCTACTCGTAAGCATGAACGCAGTACTACCCTCAGCAGCCTAATTGCTGGAGAAAACCAATATGGCAAATAGGACGTACCCAACTTCACCCAGGGAGGACACCAACAGGAGCCCAACTCCTCTCCCGGCGACAAGCTCCTGGGATCTGTGGAACGGGAAACGGGCTGCTGCAGGGGAGAGAGCTGAGCAGGCCGGGGCCCCGGACTCAGTTCCCTAGGAAGAGCCTCGGTGAGGCTGGGTCTACGAGCTCCACCTGAGACAGACGGAGTCGTGCCTACACACAGCCTCGGGAGAGACGCGGAAAGCACTACGGGGCCAATCAGCAGCACCTAACAGGCAGGGCAGGAGGTGGCTACGCCTTCAGCCAGCAAACAGTGCTGGAGCACTGCACACTGAGTGTCCTTGCACAAGCCAGCCAGCAACCCCACAATCACATGCTTCCCCCAATCCAAGCCAGGGTGGAGGGCCTCTGCCCACCCAGCCTCCTGGAAGCGCTGCGCCGGCCTGGGCAGTAAGGGGCTCTGAAAGAGCACGCTTGTATTACTTTGAGGAAAAATGGAGAAGTCCACTTTCTTACTGACGGAAGAAGGCTACTGGTCGTTCCAAAGCATTCGATTTAACTCTGCTGGATGTCCACTTTCATCCCACTAACATGTAAATAAAGGACAGGCGGGTCAAGCTTTGAACAAAAATGACCTTTAACGAGGCAAGCAGGCTGAAACAGTGAGAAGAGGGTACCCGTGGAGGCGCGTGACACCACACACAGCCTGGCTCGCCGCTAAAGGCATGCGCTCTTAGGCGGCCACTGCAGAGGCCTGCCCCTTAGAAAATCGCAGGGAGACCTGAGGACCCTGCATGCCATCACCGCTAGAGCAAACCCCAAAAGGAAGTGGCACCCAACCCCTTCTCCTTGCTCCCCTGCCAGAAGCCTGACCACCCTCATCTTGTGCCCGGTCTGCAACGACAGTCTCCTGGCTGGTCTTCCTGCCATCACCCCCACTCCACATCCCGCTGAGCAGCAGAGGATGCTGCTGAAAATGTCAGGTCACACCATCCATCCCCTGTGGCTTCCTGAGACACTGATGAGAAAACGCACTCCTGAGCAGGCTTCAGGTGCGTGCCCAGCTGCTCCCTGCTCTCTGGCTCCTCACTGGTACTGGGTGCTCTCTCGCCAGGCCCAGCCACTCTGCGGCCGTCTCAGGCCTTTGTACCACTGCTCTTTCCACCTGTAATCCCCTTTCTCCCAACATTCCCAAGGCTCCCACGGTGTTCCACCCAAGGTTTTAGTTCACAGGCAACAAGCCCCTTTACCACTGCCCTACCCAAAGCAGCAGCTCCTCCACCGCGCCAGCCCGGCTCAGGCCTGGCTCTCACCCAGTTCAAGGTGAGTCTCTGGGAAGGGTCTCCTCAGGACTGACCGCGGCACCTTTAGCCCTACACGGACGGCACAGAGGACTGGGAAGCACTTTGTGGCTGTATGGAGGCGTAGGTGGCAGAGGCGCTTCCTGGTGCCCAGCATGTGAGCCCTCCTCTTCGTCCGTTCTCCAGGTTTTGTGCCATTGGCAGGGCCTGGGCTTATCGTGGGGGTCTGTGTGGACAGATAATGCCATGGGTGCCTGCCTGGGTTTGTGATCAGCCTCTCCCATCTGTTTCCTCTACCGGGCAATGCTGCAGCCTGGCACCTCAAAGGCCAACCAGTCGGGACCTCAGGACCCCCACCTGTCTGAGTGGAAAAACGCACAGAGGAAGAGCAAGAAGTAACTCCACTGAAACGGACAGGGAAGATAGGCACACTCAGTGAAGGAACTGCACAGGGGCAACGGGAAGAAAGGGCAGTGAAGGCTGAGGAGGGAGAAGGAGCAGAGCCTTCTATGCAGAAAGAAGAGCATGTGCACACACACAGAGAAGAGCGTAAATGCACAGACCCACACACACGGAAGAGCGTTAAGTGCATGGACCCACACACACGGAAGAGCGTAAGTGCACGGACCACACACACGGAAGAGCGTAAGTGCACAGATCCACACACAC